AGGTCTGGGGCAGAGGTTCATCTACCTGCCCTACCTGGTTTCAGGCTTTTGCCATCATCCTGGGCTCAGCCTCCCAGAGCTGTCCCTGGTTCCTATTTTCCTGAAGTGGTACTGGCTCACAGGTGCTTACAACATGTCAGCACTGTCACCTACAGTAACCTTGCTGATTAAGTTCTCAAGGCCCTGTTCAGAGGTCGTCAGCCCTGCAATGTAGCACACAGAAATGTCTGCCAGAACCAGTCAAGGCACTCAGATGATTCTGAAGACAGGTAGTCAAAAGCTCATCTGACCCACTCCTTACCCAATAGCATAGGCCAGACATAAGGTCTGCAAGAGCAAGATGTAGCTCCTGGGTGCCCTGAGCCACACTGGCAGGTGGAGCACAGACTCGCTCTTCTCAGGGATTGTTCCGTATGGAGCCTGAAGGGCTGGGAAATGGGGTCTTGCTGGCCAGGCCTGGGGAACTGAGCAGACCTACCTTCCTGACAGAAAAGGGAGGCAGAGCCTCGTGAGTCCTGTCCTATCAGGACCTCTGGTTAAAGAGCTGAAGGAGCAAACAGAACTCACTGTGGAAGCAGAACTGAGAGGGATCCGAGGGGCAGCCCTATACAGCACACACCATAGCACTTAACTGTTCGAGAGCTCCCAAACTGGGGTCTCTGTGGACACTTCTGGTCCCACCACACCTGGCTGAGTGGTGGCCCTTATAGGCTAAAGATGTATTTCCCAGGTGGCTAGAAATACCAGGACATCTCTATTTTCCTATAAGATACATGGAGAGGAAGAGTCCAGGTAAAGACTGGGCAGATGCCAGTGACAAGGCTACAACCTAAGGACACAGGGAGCCCATAGAGCTGAGAGTAGATGGAAAGACCCTCTGAAGTCTGCAGGGGACAAAGCCCTGCCGTATTTGTGGAACTGTGTTTTAAGTGCCACAGCGGGAAGTCACATGACCAGCAGGTCTGAGGGCAGTCTGGGTAACCATCCCTAGAGGCACACAGATGCAATAGCTAGCTAACAGTGTTTCTCAGGGCCACTCTTCTCAGGACTTGGGGAATTAGTGTAGACACAAGTCTACAGTCATTTTCACTCTGGGATATGGGCAAAGGCTCACTGGTGTTCCTCAGTTATTAGTGGAGGGCTCTGATAGAAGCTCTGTCAGGGCCAAGGGCAAGCCTGAGGTAGCTTTTCTGGCTCCACTCACAACCTGTGTAGAAGCACTGACGTGGGCTATGGAGGTGTCTGATGGCCCTGGCATCCAGCTCATGGCTGTCTTGGTCCTGAGGTGTGCTGAGGAAGCAGCTGGAAAGGCTGTCAGCATAGCAGGGCACTAAGTTTTAGCAAAGGCAGACTAAGGAGGCGGTCATTCCCAAGGTCATTCCCTTACCTGAGTATATATGCAGACTCTTTTGCCACCGCTATATACCTGGAGGACAACTTGAGGGCACCTGTCTTGCATACCATCCTACACAGAATGGACCTGACCAGTGAGTTCAAGCCCCTCACTGCCCCTAGCTCTACCCTCAGAGGTGAGTGACCCCCAGGGACCAGACCCCTACCTGGCATCACAGCAAAACTGGGAATGGATGGCCAGCCAAGTGGGGTTTGTTTGAGTCTCTGCATGAAATAGCCACAGAAGCCACCTGTTCTCTGTTCCCCAGATGAACATGGGCTCTGGGGGTGACAGTCCAGTCAGAATTTGAGCAGGTTTAGACCCAAAGGTGTGCTCAGGCTTCCTAGTGACAAGCATCCTGCTGATAGATGATGTGTGTCCTCCAGTGGTGGACTGGGAAGGCTTGTGTGGTAAGGGGCAGGGCCTAGACAGTGGAGTCCTGGGAAGTGAGTTAGCTGACACTGGAGCTGAAGCATCCATAGGGAGAGTATGATCTGCCCTGTGCACCACATCTTAGGTTGTCATGGACAAAATCCGGTCTCCACCTGTTGAGTCAGTATGGCCAGGCAACTGTTGCCACAAAGGCTCCACCCAGGAGCATAAAAGTGACTTGGACTTGGCAGGTGTTCTCAGGCCTTATTCTTCAGCCACTGGAGACCAAGAATTGTCTCTAGGTTAGTGGCCTGTGTGCCCTGGGCAGCAACTTCTTGTTGGGACTTCAAAGTCCATGTTTAGAAATCATTCCACACACTCTAGAAAGCAGGCCAGATGAGCCCTAGGGCTCTAGAACACCTGCCAGGCCAGTGCCAGCTTGTGGGTGGGGTCAGGGCCAGTCTGGGGTGAAAGAATGTGTGGGTTCTGCCTGTAGAAGAAGGCCTGGAAACTCACCACTGGCTTTCAGCAGGCCTGGGCCAAAGAGCCTCATGCTCATTTTGTAGGTAGCTGGCAGAAAGCCTGGAGCTATGTTGGAGACTGTTTTGATGGCCTGGCCCCACTAACAGGAACCCTCTGCAGGCCAAGATCTCCAGTAGGCTGGAGCTGGTGGTGGCACTCACTGGGAGCTTAGTCCTGAGCCAGTTCGCAATAGCCAAACATATGGGGACAGATGTAGCAGGTGTAGCCAGAGCTCCTCCATGGTATTAACACCCAACCCTCACCATCAAGTGTAGACCATGGCAAGCTAACACTAGCTAGCTCCACCCAGAGAGGAGCTGGGGCTAGACACTTCAGTGAGAAAGACCAGCTAGGCAACATAGCATCCCTTAGCCTGGGACTCTAGGGGCTATCTGTGGCTAAATGCCATCTCACCCTTCCATGGCCTAGGGTCTATCACGCAGATGATGCCACTGCCTTCCCATATACCAGAAGAACTGTCAGGGTTCTGGCTCTGCCCCTGACCCCAAAAGCCTGGGGAGAGTTGATGTGCAGGAGGAAGCTAGAAGACACAGCTTCTGACTAGTTAGATGCCTCATTTGGAATACTCCAGTTGACTGCCCAGTGCCTGGGGTATAGAGGCTTAGCTACCCCAGGTCTGCTGCTGGGGTTAGTGGATGGCAAATCTCCTTGAGGTCTGTTCTTTTACTATGCATTGTAACGCTAAATACTAACTCCCAAGGCCTTGAGAGAACCTGCAGGTACACAAAGTAATGCTAGGTGATCTTGCTCCTTAATTTAAAATTATTGGTTGAATAAAGATGCTGACAGCCTAAGAACTGAGCAGAAGGTAGGTAGGCGGGGGTTTCAATTCCAGGGCTGGGAGTCTGAGGAGCATAAGGGGAGAGAGAAGGTGGAGAAGACATAATGAGGTAGGTGAATCATAAAACTGGCCACATGGGCTGGCCAGTCAGGATGAGGGCCCATTCAGAGCATGTTGTGTCTTGGAGTTACTGGCAGGGAGACAGACATAATAGCATGGAGGATAGTATCTGCCCAGCTCTAGTTCCTTAAAGGTTTATTATAAAAGTCATGTGCCTTCATCTGGGAACTGTATAATTAAAGGCAGGGTAGAAACCTCCAGTTGAGATTACATACATACTACAGGGGTCTCTGAACACCTAACAGTGGCCAGTCAGGGATTTGGGCTCCATGCTGAGGGGCCATCTTCCCAATCTTGTGACCCCAGAGCATGGAACCTCTGACCACAGCTACATGGCTCAGTCCCAAGCAGGTGGTCCCTTAACACTTCACGTCAAGAAAGGAGAAGAAACTTACCTCTATTCTGGGTCATTCCCCAAGCTGCTCTCCTGTTGTGCCCTCTCACACCAAGGGTGGCACTGTCATGGCTCATCACTAAGAAGTCTGCCACAATACTGGGCACAACAGCACTTTTCACCTGTTGGATGTCTGCCAAAGGCATTTGCCTCACTTGAGTGCAGATGCCCTGGTGTGAAATACTGCACACACTGCTGGTGGCCATTGTTGATTCTCCTTCATTGAGGCCTATTGCCCAGAAGTGGTAAAATTGCCCAGAGGCAAGCTCAGCTCAGAAAGCGACCCTTTTATGTAGCTGTGACGCTAGCTGGGTTGCAGGCTAATATGCCTGAAAGTTACCCAAGCACATCATTTTGTACAGTTACCTAATCTTCTAATGTGTGAAATGCATTTATAAATGAAATTTAATTGGCTCAGATGGACTCTCTAGGTGCCCGTTGCTCAGTGATTTCCATTACACTGGCCTAGGAATAAGGAGCAGCATATAGGGCTATCATCACAGATGAGGCAGGATTCCCTAGGGAAGGACACGGGATGAAGGAAGGTCGCATGCCCACCTCCAAGCCTGACTTCTGCAGCCCTGTCCTGTAGCTCTTATGAGGCTAGGGACAGGGCAGCCATGTAAGCAGGCCAGAGACACTGGGCTTGTAGGGAAAGGTAATCACTTTTGTAGCTAACTTTGAGCCTGCAAAGCAGGCACTCCAGGAAGGAGGTCTTCCCCCACTAAGCTCAGTCAGAAATGGCCACCAGTCTGACTTCCCAGCATTTGGGAGGCTAAAGCAGGAGGCGTGTATATAGCAACATCATCTCAGCGCCATCCCTCTCCCACCAAATTTATTAAAAACATCACCAGTCCCTTATGATCTTTTTGTAGGTTTTTTGTTTTTAATGGATCTCTCCTAGATCCTGATCTACAAGACGCAGTCCCAGATCCAGAGGTGTCTTCCTAATTTGTTATTGTATGGGTGTGCCAGCATGTAGATTTGTGCACCACGTGCATGCAGTACCTACAGAGGCCAAGAGAGGGCGTTGGAGCCCCTAGAAGTTAACAGGATAGAAGGTTGTTAGCCATCATGTAGGTTTGTGAACTAAACTGTTCCTCTGGACGAGAAGCCAGTGCTGTTGACTGCTGAGCCATCTCTGAAGCCCGCCATGGTCATTTGCTAAGGCCTTTCTTACAGTAGAAAAATGCTCCCAGAGCCCCAGGCTGGTTCCAGTCAAACAGCTCTCTTCTAAGAATGAGTTTTCACAGGCTCATCAACCAAGGGTTAAGTCTGCAGACCAGAGTCCTTGGTCCAGCCACTCAAGAGCTCAGTCCAGCAGGGTGTGGCCAACTGTGGGCAGTCAGAAGGAACAAGTGGGCTGTCAAAAAAGCAAATAACAACAAAAACCAATCTCACTTTGTGTTTCACAACTTTAATAGAATATTCTAACTATTCTGTACAAATTGAAAACACCGTATTCAGTTACAAATGTGTTATTGGGTAAGGCTGAGCTACATGGTTGGTCACTGTGGACATGGCTGTCCTGGCTACCAGAGACCAACCCACACACTCGGAAACGCCCCCACACACACACCAGCCACCAACTGGTCACAAAACCCAGGTGTGGCTCTGGTGTGCACAGTACAAACTGAAGCTGTACTCTACAGGCCAGAGACCCATTGTGAGGGAGGACGTCTGCCCCCTGGCTACAGCCTGCCAACTTCCAGCGGCAATAACAACATGTAGTCTGCATGGCACAGCACAGCTGGGGGCAGGAAGCAGCAGGGCTTCCTCCATGGGCCTCACTCCACTTGGGTGTCACATCCTCCTGATCAAGTCAGTGACGTGATCTCAGAAGTGGGAGGACAGTGAAGTTCAAAGCCCCCCAAGCACGAGTGAATAAATAAGTACAGCTCTGGCCTCAGAGGTGTGTGCCACAACCCACCCACCCCTAAAACCAAAACGCAAGAAAAAAAATGCTCTAAGGCGAGCACAGCTTCCTCTACAGTGCTTGGGAGATGACTAGGGCACAGCAGCTGGAGCAGCTTCCCACGCAGTTCAGAGGCTGGAAATCATGGGGCCTTTTCAGTAGGGGAGGGCAGAGTGCACACAATCACCAGACTCTGTCAATCCCAGGCACAACCTCGGCCCACCCCAAGTGATCTTCAGGCACCAAAGCTGCAGGTGCTACAACTAAATCTCCTATTCTGGACTGCAGCAGTCTCCACTGTACAAGTTTAGCAAAGTAAGAAGGGAAGGGGGAGAGGAATCATGCACTTGGAAATGGTTAGATGTCACAGCACTGTCAACAAAATTCTGCTTAGGCAGGGACTGAGGCCCCTGCCTGTGGCCTGCGGTCCTGATAGCCATCCACGAGGTGGCCCCACAGGGTCGCTGCTTCTCACTGCTGTTTGCACTCCGGTGGCTGGTTGGGTTCTTTCTGCAAGGAGAATACAGGATTTGAAGAAAATAAAACCAGTATCACTCATGAAGCCTCTCCAACCCACAAGAACCAAGATTCAATAAGCTCATTCCTTCTTACCCAAAAGATGGCTCCCACAAATGCACTTTTAAGAGCTGACACAGAAACAGGTCAGCTCTCCAGAGAAGAGTTCCAGATGTTTGCTTTCCTGTTTTAATGTAAAGTCTAACTCAGAATGTGCTAGGCAGAGACTTGCTAGGGCCACAAAAAGGAACTAGCCACATGAGGGGCTTTGTGGCTGGTACAGATCACACCTGCCTGTGCCAGCAATTACCTCTCTCTAGGGCAGCCCTGTCCTGGGCATTCATGAAGGTAAGTCAGTCCTTCCCAGCAGGCTGGTTCTCACCATTAATACCCGAATAGATTCAACTCCAGTGGTTCATAGTGCAGGAGCAAATGGCCAGAAGCCAGCTCCTATAAAGAGCCATGTCTATCAATCTCACAGAACAGGAGTCCAAATCACACCTATCTGAAGAGCAAGTGACTTCAACTTAACCTAACACACAAACCTGGTGTCTTTAAAACACATTCAAGTTCTGGGAGCTTTGTATGGAGGACAATAAAAGCCTGAGGACAAATAAGGACCTTACTGCTGCCTCAGAGCTAAGATATGTACTCAACTCATCTGCTTCCCAGAATCCCTGGGAACTACAACTAAAAATCATGATGGTATAACCTGTAATTCTAGGCCGCAGCAGAGAAATGCATGCTCAAGGCCAGTCTAACCCACATAGTGAGACTCATGCCTCCAAGTAACAAAGGCTAGCGATGCAGCCTAGTAGTGTAGCACTTGTCTGGTGTGCCCAAGGCCCTGGACTTGATCCTCAGCACCACATTAAAAAAATCTATTATTTTTAGAGAAGGACTCACTATGTATGCAGCCCTAGCTGGCCTTGAACTCACAAAGATCTGTTTGCATTGGTCTCTCAAGTGCTGAAAAAAAAAATTACTTTTTTGTTTTGAGACAAGGTCTCACTTATGTAGTCCTGGCTGTTCTGGAACTTTGTAGACCAGGGTGGCCTTGAACTCAGGGAGTTCTGCCTGTTCCTCCATCTTCAGTGCTAAGATAAAATGTGTGTTTTGCCTACATGTATGTCTGCACACCACGTATGTTCCTAGAGTCATCAGAGATTAGAAGAGGGAGTGGTCAGATTACTTGGGACTGGTTATAGAGAGCTGTATGTCAGCTGCCACGGAGCATCTGCTGCCTCACAAATCTTAATGACAAATCAGCCCCTCAGCACTAGCACTTAAACTTTAGAAGAGCAGCCTGTGCTCTTAAGCTAAGTCTATCTCTCCAGCCCCAATAAAATAAATTTATTAAAAAGCTATTCTGTGTGGTGCATACACCTTTAATCCCAGCACTCAGGAGGTGAAGCCAGGCATCTCTGAGTGTTCAAGTCCAGCCAGCTCTACAAAGCAAGTTCCAGGACAGCCAGGGCTGTTTATATAAAACAAAACAAAACAAAACCAAACCAGAACGCTGTCTCAAAGAACCAAAAAAAGAAAGAAAGAAAAAAAAAAGACTATGGCTGGGGGGTGCTGAAGAAAAATCTGTATTGTGTGAACATGTATGTTAACACTGGAAGTGTCTATGGTATAAGATGAAACCAGAGTCTACCTTGAGACATCACACTTCAGGGGCAAAAATGCAGTGTTGAGGCACACAAGAGAGAACCTTGGCTTGGTTAGACCTCTACTTTTTTCAATTATAAAATGTATTTATTTATATGTATGTTATGTCTGTGTGAGGGTAGGCATCAGATCCCCTATAACTGGAATTACAGATGGTTGTAAGCTATTGTGTGGATGCTGGAAACTGAACCCAGGACTTCTGCAAGAACAACTAGTGCTCTTCACTACTGAGCCATCTTTCTAGCCTAAGAAGAAAACAGGGATATACTGAGCCCTCCAGGTTAGGGATCCCATCCCTATTTATCTCTCAGGAATCTTGTAAGTCAACAAGGAACCCAAGCCCAGAGATGCTGTGCTACTCTCAGTAGTCAACTTGATTGTATGTGGAATTAACTCAAACTCAAGCTGCTGGTCACTCTTGTGCAGGGACTTTTTTTTGATTGGATTATTTGAGGTGGAAAGACCCACCTTAAATCTAGGCCTAGTGGTAATTTATGTAAAGGCCATAGAAGAAGAAAGTTTCTTTTCTTTGCCTGCTTGCTTTCACTCTCTGGCAAGTCCATTCCTTCACTGGCGTTAGAGCCTACTTCTTTGGGATGCCCATACACACACAAAACCAGCTGAGATACCCAGCTTTGTGGACCAAATAAGGATCAGATGTTTGACCTTTCTGCTGGGAGACAGCCATTGCTAGAATAGTTGAATCACAGACTATAAGCCACTCTAGTAAATCCCATTTATAATGGAGAGATTCATTCTATCAGTTGTTTCTCTAGAGAAGCACAATACAGATGCCAACCAAGCAAAAGCTGTCAGAAGACAGCCAAGGCTAGATCTAGAGGTAGTCAACACAGTGGCCAAGGTCAAGCCCACTGACCTAGAGAACATCAGAGAGGCAGGGTGTCCCAAGCAAGTACAGCAGGGATAGAAGAGAGGAAGGCAAGCAATGCACACAAGGGAAGGAGTGGAAGCTCTAGGGGCTGGGGTGCAACTGGGGTCTGCCCCCAGCACAGAAAAATAAAGGCACTGCAGGTGGAAAACTAGTGGGCAATGAGTAGGTGCCTCCCTACCCTGCCTCAGAACACAAGCATTCCAAACTTTATCCCATTTCTTAAATGAAGTGGCATTTTGACCACAGGAATGTAAAATTTTTGTTTTTAATAAAACCAAAACTTGAGGATGTAAAAATCCAAAACATAGACCATAGTACTTTAGGTAATGAAGCTGCCAAGGAGCATAATCTTTATTAAGGTGGCAGAAGAGGCCGTTGGAAAGGCAAGAACAGTGAAGCAGCAGGTTTACACAGGGAAACCACAGGTCCAGACCCCACCCCTGCCAGGTAGTAGGCAGTAGTGTCCACCTACATTCCTGCTGGGATTAACAACCCCTTGAAGGACACAGTCAGAAACTAAATTACAACTGAACTGTAGCATCTGCTACCTCACAAATCTTAATGACAAATTGGCCCCTCAGCACTAGCACTTAAAATGTGTAAGTCGGCCAAAACCCTGATCACCACAGGACTACATAGGTGGGGTTATCATGGGCATAGTGGACTCAGGAAAGGTGGAGCTGAGGCCACTTATACCTCACTATGTCAGCTGCACCAGAGAGCAAGGCCCACGCCAAAGCTACCTGCAGGTGGACACCCACCATGGTCTGCTACTATGGCCTTGATAAAGAGGGATATTTTAACACTGACAGTCAACTGCACCTAGCTGCTCAAGTGAAGGTCCCAGAGTGAGCCCATCAAAGGCCAAGGCTCCGTTGGACTGCTGTCATTCTGGACAATTCCTTACAAACTGCTGTCTACAAGTAAAATAAGGCAGGGGCCTACCTATGGGATCCTTATGGTGCCTCACTCTACCTGGCCTTTCTTCCTTTTCTTACTGCATTAGCTATGTGCAAAAGACGTGAGCACTACACAGGGAAGATAAGACCCTGTCACTGGCAAGGGCCTCCCCTCACTGCTAGTTACTTATAGGTGAGTGTGCTCTCCAAACTAAACAGGGGAAACAAGGTGCTCCACACTATGTCCACAACTGGCCCTGTCATCCTCCAAACCAATCGTGAGGTGGGGCTTTATAGTGGCCACACTGGCAGGGACACCAGGCCACCTGACCTGATCGTTTTGTTCACTCACTGGTCTGCACAATGCCTGGTAGAGTGTATAAACCCTCAACAGACACCTAGACAAATCCAGAGCGACTACAGTCACAGTGTCTTTAAGCCTGGTGCAGTGTAGACAACAGGTACTTTTCTATCAGGGCTTTTTGTCCAGGGTGGCTCCTATGGCCATCTTGTCAGCTGCTGACCGCCAGAGCCTCTTGTTCCGTTACCAGTGACAATGCTCCCCAAAGTACAGCCCATTGCCCAGTTACTGAAAAACATCAGGTCCTGAAGGCAGGAGCTAAGCCTCACTGTTCTGCTGGTTTTACAAATGCATTAACTGTAGAGCCAGTACAAGTGCCACTCACAAGGCCCAGAGGCAGCCCTAGCTCCTATACAATATAATGAATCACAACTTTCTATGTCCCAGAAGTCAGAGTAATGCAACGAATCAAGTACACACAGCAATTTGGAAGTTAGGTATGAACAGATTCCACCTTACCTAGAAACGCATGAATGATTAACACAAAAATTACACCTAAATGGGGAAAAAAATTGAAAGGAACTGTCAGCATGAAAGAAAATGAAATGTACAAAATTATACAGGAGGCAGCAGCCACATTCTCATGATACAAGGGCTTCCAGTAGGGGCAGGAACAGCTTCAGCACAGCAGAGCTGCATGCCTTCCTGAGGTCAAACCTTATGCCCTCTTATAATAAACAACTCCCAGACAACACTGTGTGCAGTTTTTAGTGACGATTCCAGTCACTCTCTTTGGAGGGTGCACATGAAGCCACAGAACAATCACACCTTGACTTAAGGACAGAAGGACCACCCCTTGGACTGCCTGCAACAACAGCTCTCCACTGTACCCCATTGCCTACACTACTTCTGAAGCTTCTTTCCACTCCTAGACAATGACCAAGTGTCTGCAAGGTTTTCTACTAATCACATGATAACCTGGGTGAGAGGCTCTCTTCAAATACAGGGACATGAGAGGAGACAGAAGGCTCTGCAACGTGACAAAGGGAAAACAACAGGAAAAAGAAATGGGAGGAGAGGGGATGCAATGGAGGCTAAGTGAGACAAGCATAACACAGAAGCAAAGGTGCATCAAGGTGGAATATGCACGTGACAAGCTGCCCTGGTCCCTGCCAACTGCACTATGACCATGTGTCCATCCACTGCCCACAGAGCATGAACAACCAACACCCCAAGGCTCACCAGGTAGTACTGTCTCCATGACCCAAGAGTGATCTTTAGAAGAGAGTGCATTGGTGATAGTGGCAACAGCTCTCCCATTTTCCCCCAGGGAACTTCCCAGTGTGTGCATGCATTCCCAGCAGCACAGCAGCCACAACACCAAGTCACTGCACTGACAGCTTTTAGCACACACTCCACACCGGGAAAACAAGGGCAACAGATGGACACTAGTCAGTCAGAGACGCAAAGCACAGGGACACCAGGCAGGGATGCACTCTAACAGACCCCACACAGTCAAACACAGGGAAGTATGTACGGCTACACAAGAGCAGCTCAGGGCATCCTGGCATCGGATGCCACAGCCCCCTAATTAACAGTCTCCTGAGACCACACAGAAAACCCCAAGTTCCAGGTAAAATTGATAGTGCAGACTGTCTTTTCTTTTGCCAGTCCGCTTGTCCTGTTCAATCAACCACTATGCATATGTGTATGTACATACAATGCTTTTTCTGAATCTTTTCAGCAGAAATTCTGATCACAATCTAATGCCCTCCTTATTCTAGCACACAATCCACACCAGGTGCTCTGCAGATGCACATGGCTGCCTCCTGTCACAACAGCCCTTTAGGGAAGAGCAGGAAGCAATGCATGTTCCAGTCTACAGAGCTGAGTATCACCTGGTTGAATCTGACACCTAATGTTCCAGGCACACAAGTTGCCTTTCCTCAACTGTGGATTTTTCTGACATGTGTATTCTTAGCATCAAGAACAGCTTCAAAAGGCCCACTGTGCAGTACTGGTAGGCTCAGGATGTCCCCAAATAACTAACCTTGGGGATAACTTCAGTATCATCCTCATCTTCTCCCTCTTCATCACCTTCCAATTCCTGTATTAAAGAGACAAAAGAGTGATGACTAGAGTGTGACTGTAGGGCATCACCTGAACCTGTACAAAGTGACACACAGCTTAGTCTACACAACACACACAATTTTTCTTACAAAAGAGGCCAGGGTTAGAGACACTCAATGCTTAAGAGCACAAAAAAGCCTTGCAGAGAGAATGAATTCAGTTCCTAGCACCTATTGTCAGGCAGCTCACAGTCACTGCAAACTTCTGCGTTAGATCTATCTGATGCCTTCTGTACAGGAATGAGCACATAAGCACACATGCATGCCCAGACAGACGTGCATAATCTTAAAAAATTATTCCTTTAAATAGAGGAAGAAAAAAAAATTAGTTGAATAGATTGATCCAGAACCTCAGCTTCCTATGGTGTCTCCTTTCCACAAGCAAATCACAGCAGAATCCTGCATTAGGGCCAGTCACTAATAATTAACTCTCTTTATCTTTTCATTTTCCCAAATAATTCTGAAACATTTCCAAAAAAATTAGACATTCCTTATTAAATGGTTACTAATATGCATTTAAAAAAAAAAAAGATTTATTGGGCTGGAGAGATGGCTCAGTGGTTAAGAGCACCGATTGCTCTTCCAGAAGTCCTGAGTTCAATTCCCAGCAACCACATGGTGACTTACAACCATCTATAATGGGATCTGATGTTCTCTTCTGGTGTGTCTGAAGAGAGCAATGGTGTACTCATAGACATAAAATAAATAAATAAATCATTTTTTTTAAAAAGAAGTTAACATTATACATACATATATATATATAAATTTATTTATTTAACTAAGTACACTGTCACTGTCTTCAGACACGCCAGAAGAGAACATCAGATCCCATTATAGATGGTTGTAAGTCACCATGTGGTTGCTGGGAATTGAACTTGGGACCTCTGGAAGAGCAGCCAGTGCTCTTAAGTGCTAAGCCATCTCTCCAGCCCTAATATACATCTTTATAAGCAATTACAGGGTCAAAATCTATGGGCACCAAAACCAAATGATTTCAAAATGGCAACTGAAACCAGAGTGAGGCCCTTGGACTTCCTAATGTCAAGCAGACAAGGCAAAGCCTCACAAAGTTCGAGTAACAATACTGTATGTGACTTCTTCCTTACCTCCTCTTCACCCTCCTCGCCTTCTTCAAACTGCAAGGGAAACAGAAAAACAACTTAAATTTTTAGAACCATAATGTATCCCCAATAACAAGCTGATAAGTACCCTGCTAGGCTAAAGGTAGCATGAAGCTTGTGCTGCTACAGAAGCAGTGATGGCTCCATCTCTAGGTATCCATGATTCACATGCTGTTCCTGCAGGCCCAGCAGATCAGCACTGTGTGTAAGAGGGGCCTCCCAGGACAGAAAGGGGCTCAAGAGTTAAGGATGGGGAGGGGTGACAAGACTTGTGGGCTGAACATGCTGGATAGCTCCCTCTCTACCTTCAGACAGAAACGGGGCAATTGGATTCATTTGGGAAGAGGGACTCTCAACTGAGAAAATGCCTCTATGAGATGTGCCTATAAGCAAGCCAATAGCACATTTTCTTGATTAATGATTGAAGCAGTAGGGCTCAGCTCACTGTATGTGGTGTCACCCCTAGGCTGGTGGTTCTTGGTGCTAGAAGAAGACAGGCTGAGCAAGTCAGTAAGCAGCATTCCTCTATGGTCTCTGCACCAGTTTCTGCCCCTAGGTTCCTAATCTTACTTCCCTGGATGATGGAAGATCCAGGTAATATCAAAATACCCTTTCCTCCTCACGCTGCTTTCAGTGATGGTATTTCATCACAGTGACAAACACCCAACTAAGACCAAGGCTAAACTAAGTTAATCACCTGTTTAATTGCATACAAAAATTTTGGCATTTCACACCTCAGACAGCAGGGCGGGACAGCCTTTATTAGGTTTCTTTTTTATATATTTATTTTATAAACATTTATAAAATCTTGGTGTTTAGTCAAAACTAATGTCAAACCACCATCAGGGCTCTGTGTCAATTTCTGTCTAACATGTTTTTGGTCAGATAATTTCAAGTTCCAAACATGAGCAAGTTCCTAAAGGCTGGTCACTCCAGTACCACTGGCTACTGGCATTTATAAAATAAGACCACTCACATATTCCTTTGAGACAATATGAAAGTACAACTTTGGAAAGCCAGAACCCACTGGCCTCCTGGCACCACAAAGCAACAAGGTAGGACCCAGCCACAAAGTAGTGTCTTTCCCCTATGGCATTCAAGCAGGTTTCTAAAAGACAGGTCTTTTTTTGTTTGCTTTTCAGATGAGGGCTTCCCTATATAGCCCAAATTAGTCTCAAAACACTCAATTCTATCTCAAGCTCCTAAGAGCCAGGATGACAGTTGTACTGCATTAATCCAAGAGAGAAGTTATGTTTGAACTAGCCCAGTGTCAATATCTTTTTTTGTTTGTTTGTTTTCGAGACAGGGTTTCTCTGTGTAGCCCTGGCTGTCCTGGAACTCACTCTGTAGACCAGGCTGGCCTCGAACTCAGAAATCCGCCTGCCTCTGCCTCCCAAGTGCTGGGATTAAAGGTGTGCGCCATCACTGCCCTGCTGCAGTGTCAATATCTTAAGATTTAAGCACATTTCTTTTATCAGGAGCCTATCTTGAAAAAAAAAATCACCTAGTGGGGTCAAAAGGGTCTGCACCAAGCTCACCTCCCACATGTGCACAGTACACAGCAGGACAGGGCCAGCTGCTTCCCCTCCCTAACAGCCCTCTGGTCTTGTGGTTCCAGTAGTACTATGTTTCTTATTCTTGCATATATACACACATACGTAGTCTCACACTGCTGGCTTAGGCCTTTCAGACCTTGTGTCAAATATGAAGACCACTGAACTAGGGGCAAACTTTCCAATGACTCTGGTTAACTTCAACATCAGTTCTATCTTTACAGCGGCACACGTCTGTGATGCAGTTAGCCCAACTGCCACCATCTTGAGAATGCTGCCTTAGAATTGCTGTGTAACTAGACTGTCCTAAAACCCAGGCCTCTGCACTGCGGGAAACCACCAATGCTGAACAGTATCCATAACCATCTCTCCCTAAGGAACAAGCAAGACTTGAAGCTAACACCCACCAAAAGAATCAGGAGAGGCAGCCCTCCCTGTATCAGAAACAGGCCATTGGACCTGCCTGATCACCTCACTGCCCACCTAAAGCTCCAACAGACTCATGAGCTCTTCAAATAAAGGTTAACAACTTGATCTCTACAGACTGTGATAACTTGGGACAATCCAAGCCTTAACCACCAAGAGAACCTGAGGCAGGTCACATTAAAAGTGTGGCCTACTAAGTAATACCTGGAACACATCACACAGGGTAGGAGCCTCTGTTGTAGGGCACTACTATGACATATACCAGTATAAATCCACTGCCAGTAACTGTCTGGTGTGGCCCAATCTCCCGAAGGAAGGGCCTTCTTCATACTGAAGTTTTCTCAAGTTCTCAGGCTTTCCACAGAACAGTTTGATCCTCAGGGTCTTAAGAAGGCAAGGTTAAATGAGTCACATGCTAGCTTCCCAGGTACCTGAGGACTGACAGCCTCGTGGGATACCCCCTCCTCTCACTGCAGCTTCTAGGAGCCACCTCCCTTTAGTCTATTGTCACAGAGAGCTGTAGGGCCCTGGGTCTAGATAATGAAGCAATACATATAGCTTTCCAGGCCACAGTTCAGAGTGTCTGAGCACCCAGAGGTCTAAGCACCGAGGTGACCACCCTCCTGCCCCACATACATTGTCATCATCCTCTATGGCCTCCCCAGTGAAGTAGAGGACAGCCCGTGGCACGATGCGCTCACGGAAAAAGTGCCCAATTTCAAAGTCAGAGGCTAAGGTGAACTCGGAATCTTCATCCTGAGAGGGAAAACAAATAATTAACTCATTTTAGTGGGACTCATCTTAGTGGGGCGAAGATGTGTTCAAGTACCCTCCAAGTACCCTCCCTCCCCTCAAACCCTTACTTCTGAATGATCTGCACTGCTGGATAACAGTCACCACATTCAAAGCCACTTAAAATGACCTTAAAGCTAATGTTCAAATTACACTACAAAATACCATGAAAACAACACAGCAGGTGGGCTGAAGCTCTGATGCGTGTCCTATGCTTTAGAGTGGGGGATTGGGGTCTCTACTGAGGACTAAAGGGCAGGCATAGGAAAAAAAAACATTCTCTCAAGACCCAAGGTATAATGACTTCACTTAACTACAGAAACTAAAGGAGGAAGAATGGATCAGAAAGAACAAGTGCTTATTCAAGAAATACTTGATAGAAAATCAGGGCTTTTGACAATATATCTTACCAGAGATTCTCCATCTCCAGAAGCTAGAAGAAGAAAAGAAAACACACTTATATTACAACGACACCAATGTTTTAACATCCATACTGAAGGGAACTCAGCTGCAGCTCTCCCAGACCCCAACAAAGCACTGAGGCACCTTGTGAACATTTTCACAAGCTCTATCTGTTACCATAATTTCAGCTAGATAAGGCAGTGGGTCAAAAAAGCTGAGAGTTTGAAGGATGAGCAGGAGGTAGGTGAATCAGCTGTCCTATTGGCACCATACAGAGACTGATCCTGCACAATGTACAATGCTGAATGGTGCAGGTTTATCTGCTATTGAGGAAAGAGAAGAATGTGCATTCTGCTGATGTCCTTGCAGGGGGTTGCAGCCTTTCACCCAAGGATGATGTATCCATGAGGGCCTACATGCAAGACCATCAAAGTGGTGCTGACATTCACCAGGTCAAACAGAAGATGTGGGCTTCTTACCATACCCTCATGAAACCAAGCAACCATTACCTAACAGATGCTTTGGGCCTCGACTAGTTATGTGCTGGAGTAGATCTAATGTAGAGCTAATCTCTGTAAAACCTGTGGTGCCAGCTTTTCTCACGGGGCTCATGTCATCTGTTGTTACAGACTGGCAGCATTCACTGATACAAAGCACAGCACTGAGTGTATGACCACCACCCACAAGAGGCTGTTACCATGTAGGCAAGGAACAGAGTCTGAGGGTTGGACCCTGTCTCCCTAGTGACAAGCACCATGGCATAAGCCTTCTAGGCCAATTCTGTAGGCTATGAGGACAATGAGGACTACACTAGTAGTGTCTCCATTCCCAAATCTGTAACCCAGCCCTTGGCCACCATCCTCCATTCCTGTTCCTAGAACTCATCACTTGATACTGTCATATGTTGCCTGGCTAACATTGTAGCCACTTCCTTATTTTTTCCTTTTCAACTTCCTGAAAGCATTGTTAACAGTTTTATATTCATTTCCCTTTAAAATGCAGGCTGGAAACTGAATGAGCTAATTTCAGAGTTGTGCCACTATAAAACATCACCCCTAAAATCACATCTGCTTATCAATGAATTCTACTTTCACTGTGACTTTGTGAACAGTTTTAGGGAGCTGAGCATGGTGGTGCTTGCCTTTAATCCCAGTACTCAGGAGGTAGAGGCAGGCAGATCTGTGAGTCCCAAACAGCCTGGACTACAGAATGAGTCCCAGGACAGCCAGAGCTACCCAGAGAAACCCTATCTTGAAAAACCAAAAAATAAAAAAAGAACAGTCCAAGGAAACTTCTTAAGACAGGGTGTTACTACGTAGCTCTAGTTAATCTGGAACTACATAGACATCCGCCTGCCTCTGCCTCCTGAATACTAGGATTAAAGGCATGTGCACTATGCCCACTGAGAAGCTGACTCTTAAAGGCAAGGACGCTCCACCTGGGTCTACATAGCTAGCCTGGTCTAAACATGTATGTTAATGTATGCTCTAAAGGAATTTCCTCACACAGGAAATGTAAGCACTAGCTTATTCTTATTTACCAACGTAACATACTTTGTATTTTGTGGGTTCAAAGTTAAATCATAGAAAATGGCCATTAAAATAACATCATCCAAGTGTCCCATGAGGAACACATGGTGGACAACAGCAGCAAGTTCTGGAACAAAGCAAAGCCAAGTGCCCAGATCCAGGAATGGACGTGCCTAAGGTCCCCCAAACAACTCTACGTTGGATAACTTTCACAGCAGGGATAAATATTTATGTCCAATGACGGTCCCTTCGTGGAAAATGATAATTCTTTAACACTAAGAAAGGGTGTGGCCAAACACCTTCCCAATTATAGAATTACTGTGGGACAGCCAAGATAGGAGTCCCCAAGCAGACTGCAGTCATTATAACTAGGCTCAAGGTCCCATCTTCATTACATAGCTCAGAAAACTAAAAGCTTCAATGTTAAAACTCTGTTCCTAGCCTTTAAAGACTTGAAAACTACCTATATGTGTTCATTACATATATTTCCAAGTAAAGCCCTGTGCTCTGTCAAACTGTATAAAACTAGGGAAAACTGAATTATAAGAAAAAGAAGTTTAACTGGTGACTCAGAAGGTTTGTAACTGTGACTAGCTTGCCAGGACGGGTCCTAGAGAATCTGTGCCTGCCTCCTTGCCTAGGAAGCTAGTCTATCCCCTCCATATGCCCAGAAAAGTGCTCATCTTCTCCTGAGGTGCACACACAACTTCTAAGAGCTAACCAAATACGAGGGAATGGAACAACTTTACACAGCACACAGAGCTGCCCCTGCCCACCTTTCAGGGGGCTGAAGAAGTTGAAGAAGGATTCATTGGGCACTTGCTTGGTGATGGTTCGTACAGTACCCCGGCCCTTGTGCTTCTGCTTTTTCTTGATGGTTTTGACTGTGACATTTTTTCCTTTCTTCCAGTCTATTGTACACCTGCAGGGACAAGGCAGCTGTTATAGACACTTGCCCCAAGAGAAATCCCACTACTATCTAGGAAGGAAGCCAGAGCCCTATGGAACATCTGACACCACTCATCTGCAAATCAGGGGAAAGAATCCCAAAGTCTATCTGTATGGCAGCTTACAAGGGTTGGCCTGGTCCTGTCATCCTTCGATCACCAATGCCCAAAAGCTCTGTAATGACAACAGCATTCTTCCACAAGGATTCTGAAATGTCTCCTGTGCAAGGCCCTGTCAAGTCCACAGAATGCTCAAGAACTCATCACCTGTTATATCTGAGCACATCTAGGGTTACCACTCATGTACTCCAACTCAGAAATCAACTAAGTGAACAGGACAGCAGGGGCCACCATCTCACTTTTGGTGGCAGCTGAATGATGTCTACTCAGGAACACATGGAAAAGCCAAACCCTCTCCTACATGACAGACTGGCCCTGGAAAAAGATCTCCTCTAACCTAACCCTGAATACTCCAAGCCTTTGAATCAAGCAGGACTTTAATGAAGCCCAAAATCATTTAGTGACATTAACAGCACTGAACTAGTTCTCGTGTTTTACTTTCAACAGTCAGTTTCCCAAACAGTGAGTCATAACCACAGGAGTCAACGTCAAGCTGTATCTCTACTGAATGGTTTAGAAACTAACACTGTCATTTATCAGGTAGCAAATCTGGTGCCATATTTCAAAGCTGTCAGTGAACTGTGACATGGATTTAACTTCACCACTCAACAAATACTTTTTCTCTTAAGAGTTTGGGGCTTTGCTGAACACGATGGTGGCACAGCCTTTAATCCCAATAGTCTGGAGGCAAAGGCAGGTGGATCTCTAAGTTCAGCCTAGTCTACAGAACAAGCAAGTTTTTTAGGCAAGCCAGAACTATCTAATGACATCTTATCTCAGCATCAGTCGGCCTCTTTCAACCTCCGTAGGCATGACATGCACACGGTACAGATACAGATACACACGCAGACACAACACTCATACACATTAAATAAAAATAAATCTTAAAAAAACTTGAGGCTGAGGACACAAGCCAGTGGTAGAGCACTTAAGCCTTCTATGTAAAGGTCCTGGGTTTAATCTTCAATGCCACAAAACAAAACAAAAACAAAACAAAAAACAAAACAAAAACAAAATCACCTTTAATTCCTGGTTATCTGAAGAATTCAAAACATGGTCCCATTCAAAGAGAAACTGAGGACAGGCTTCCAAGTGTATCTGAATCTTAAGACATGACACACCTTCCAGTTTTGGCCATGTCCACATTGCAGCTTCCCAACCATAAGCTACTGTACACAATTTTGAAGGGCTTTTAAGTGGTTCCAGACTTTAAAATATATTTTTTAAAACAATTATTGCTGGGGCTGGTGAGATGGCTCAGTGGTTAAGAGCACTGACTGCTCTTCCAGAGGTCATGAGTTCAAATCCCAGCAACCACATGGTGGCTCACAACCATCTGTAATGATATCTGATACCCTCTTGTGGGGTGTCTGAAGACAGCTACAGTGTACTTACATATAATAAATAAATAAAAATTAAAAAAAAAAAAAAAAAAAAAAAAAGGCTTTTTAAAAAAAAAAAAAAAAAAAAACAATTATTGCTGAGTGGTGATCGTGGCACATGCCTTTAATTCCAGCTCTCAGGAGGCAGAAACAGGTGGATCTCTGTGTTCGAGGCCAGCCTTGTCTACAGAGGAAATTCCATGACAGAGAAACTCTGTTTTAAAATCATAAAAAAAAAAAAATACTGTATAGCTGTAAGTACAAATTGTGTGTGTGTCTGCATATATGCACAGGCCAAATGCCAGGCAGAAGAGGGTATCAAGTGTCCTCCCCTAACACTTTCACCCAATCCTTTGAGGCAGGGTCTTCCTGAACCCAGGGCTCAGTTCCCAGCAATCTTTTTGTTCTCTGCATCCTCAAAGCTGGGGCTATAGACATATGGCTTGTTATATAAGTGCTAAGGTTTGAATTCTCGTGATTACACAGCCATCTCTCTGCCCCTAAGACTTTTTTTTACATCATTCCCATTTCTGATCCTTTTGTTGTACACAGATCTTTCTGTGTAGCCTAGCCTGGCCTTGAACTCTCATGCACCCCTACACCTGACTCTTACTGCTTTTGTTGCAGAAAGGCATGTTCTTACCCATCACAGTCCACAATTTCAGGGCCTTCGAAAGAAAATGGGTCGGCTTTGTCTGGCTCTGATTTCATCTTGTATGTTTTCGTCAGGACAGGATTGGTGAAGTAGTCGTTGGGTTCAAAGTGAAACTCTAGCACAAAAGACTGAAGCAAAAATCCAGAGTAAGAACTACCTAACATCTGCACAAAGAACTTAAAGAACCAACTCACAACACATGGGCCACAGCCCTTCCTACTAAAATCAACAGTGGCAGCCCCACCCTGCTCCAGTCCCTCTCTGGTTGAAATCCAGATAAGATTCTGTGCCTTGCAGTGAGTGAAAACAGGATTCTTCATGGGAGGTAAATAGAGAGGACAGAGTCAACTGCTCCCTTGAAGCTGCACAGTTCTTCAGAGAACACACAGGGAGACAACATTTGCAGAAAAACAGGTATATCAAGTCCAATGGCAACAAGAAAAAAAAAAAAAAAAGAAAAGAAAATGTGGAGTGTTAGTATACACTTTAAATTCTAGTACTTGGGAGGCAGAAGCAGGCAGATCTCTGAGTTCAAGGCCAACCAGGGCTTCACAGAGAAACCTGGTTTCAAAAAAAACATAGAAACGAAAACAACAAGCAGGATGATTTTCTGAGGCAGAATGCATCAAAACAAAAACCTCTGTGGGACTGAGCAGTGCTCTGAGACATATGCCTATTTGTGTAATCAAAAAATTTAAATGTGCCTGACCTAACAACTTGATTTTGGGAATTTATTCCACCAGAGAAATATTAGGGTGATATGATTCACCCTCAACTTATTCATAACGAGAAACAGACACACAAAGAGTAAGAGTCAGCTATCAAGACAAAGCAGATTCACTGGTGCTTGCTCATGAACTGGAGCACAAACACATGTACTTTCCCAGCTAGAAAGGACTATGTGACACCCCTACAGACTCTCAGAGTAAGGAGCCCCTGAAGAGGCAGTTTTGCTTTCTTTACTGTGCTTACTCTACACAGAATTCAAATAGGAAACAGCACCAGAAGGTGAGAGATCTGTGCAAGCTCTCCATATTGGCTTGTTTTAAGTTTTGAACATTCTCCATAATAATCATCTGAGAATTTGGGGGTGGTGGTGGTGGGGAACAGTCCACTCTGGTAGAGAGAATATCTTGTGTGTTATAGGGATGTATAACTTGTTACTTAAAAAGCCCACGACCTATGGCTTAGACAGGAAATAGAGGTGGGACATCCGGGAAAGAAAGGATTGTGGGATAGAGCCAAATGGGAGATTGTCCAGGAAAATGTGATGAGACAGATTTATGGTACCTGAGCACAGGTAACCAGTCACATGGCAGAACGTAAGCCGAAACGAATGGGTTATTTTAAGTTTTATCTAGTAAGAGAAGAGCCTAGCTATATGGCCAAATATATTTTGAGTCTGAGTCTTACTTCTGGGAGCATGGGGCTGGAAGGAAGAACTGGGGATAACTTCAACACACTCTAGCTGATCATGCTCACAGTAACCTGTGGGGCTGTGAAAGGATGGCTTGTTTTCTGGTAGAGCACTGGCTTAGAGATAGCCAGATATCCAAGAGGTGTCCATGCCTGCAAGGGACGGCACATTATCTCTCCACGCTCCCAGATTCCAGACTCCTGACATGTGGCAAAGATCTCCACTGACCCGCACCTTTCAGGCATGTAGGGCAATGCCCCTACCAGCCCCTCCACAGGCAGAGGGCCTGACTACAGGCCAAGGACCTGACTACAGGCCGCTCAGCCTCAAGAGATTTCCGTATTAATGAGATACCTAAAGGCCAGAGGGCATAGCCAATTAAGTATTCTTTCCCAGACCCTCCTCCTTACAAATGGTATTTTAACCAAAGGCCCGTCCTGGGGGTGCGGGGGTACATGCAGATTCATCTATCATCCGCCATGAAAATAAAACCCTTTTGGAACCATGGACTTTCTCGTGTCTTTTGGGGCCCGCCATGGGGAACCGTGAAGGTCTCAACCATGGAGCCTCATCTAATCTCTCCTGGAGGACTTCTCTGCGTTCTAGCCACAGGGACCGCAGACTCAACGAAGCTAGCCGACCCTGCCAAGTGAGTGTCTTCCCAACACTCTTCTCTTCCCGAGGGGCATAGTTGAGGTTTCTTTCTCCTTCGCCCGCAGCCCCCAGTCTCTGTTCATCCACGGTCCCCCAGTGGTATCTGGGGGCCTGAGAATAGAGACCACCAGCCTACGGGTCCACTAGAGAGCCCTGTGCCCACGGAGGAATTCAGACTGAGTAAGATTCTCTCACGCCCAGGCTTGAGCCCTGCAGTGTCTGCCCAGCACCGCGCAGAGTGAACTCAGTTAAATTCGAGTGTTCCAGTCTCTTCGGAGACCTGGAAACCACAACTGCCCAACAAGAACCCGCGCCAGTGCTCATGTGAGCTAATCATCCCTGCAGTAACCCTTGCCTCAGGAAGTACAGCCCCAACTAACATGCAGAGGAAGCAAGATTGGCTGGGAATGGATAGAAACAGCCCTCAGAAATAAAACAGGCTACTAATAAGGAGAAAGAAAGAAAGAAAGAAAGAAAGAAAGAAAGAAAGAAAGAAAGAGAGAGAGAAAGAAAGAAAGGAAGGAAGGAAGGAAAGAAGGAAGGATTAATCTTATTTAGCTGAGAGTAGGTGGGTTCATGCTTTATATTCTAAACACCTGGAAGGCTGAGGCAGGGACAGACTGTCATGACTTTCAGGCCTGCCTGAAATATACTGTGAATAGTCTATCTCAAAAACAGACAAAGCAACCAGCCAAGGTAGCATATGCCTATAATTCCAGAACATGAGCAGCAGAGACAAGAGGGCCACATCTTTGAAGTCATCTTACTCTATATTCTGGGTTAGCCCAGGATACACAACAAGACCCTATCTCACAACAATGAAATAATTCATATGAAGGCAAAAGTACAATTTAATCTGGATGAACTGAAAACAAAATACAGAGAATCTCAAACCTGCCTGTATAGAAAAGGTAGAGATCAGGTAGCATAGCCAGAGCTTTGGGTGGGAAGGAGCTTCTGTGGCCACGTGAATTAAGTTGGCAGCCCCTGACCAAGAGAGGCAGCAAACATACTGGCCCGATCTTCAGAGCTGACAAATGTTAACTTTTATAAAGGAAAGAGGGATGAGATGTATACAGCTGCCCCCAAGGACTGATGATAAAGAAATCCCACCACTGTCCTATCTCCACCTGTTAACCAGGGCCTGGGGTAGAAATGACAAGACAAAAAACCTCTAGCTTCCTCTTTCAAGATCTCTTGCCTATCTCTTCTTGAGAAGGGGGTGGAGGGAGAGGGAGAGAGGGGGAGGGAGAGGGAGAGGGAGGGAGGGAGGGAGGGAGGGAGGGAGGGAGAGAGAGAGAGAGAGAGTGTGTGTGTGTGTGTGTGTGTGTGTGTGTGTGTGTGTGTGTGTGTGTCCAAGACCTGAAACTGAAAGCCACTAGCCAGTCAGTCAGTCATGTGTCACTGGAAATCCTGTAGCACTGGAATGGAACCCATCAGCCACAGCAAGGCTAACAGGTTACGAACAGTGCTCCTGAGTAGAGGGTGAGGCTCAGCAAGCACCAGCTCTGCACATCCTAGGTTAAGCCCATTTTCCCAAAGGCCAGACCACCTCCCATGTTTGAAGCTGTTTTGGGGTAGTTTCAGTCACATCTACATTGGTTATTTTAGGCTAAACCCAAGCAGGTTACTTTTCTTAGTATCTGGATTTCTGAACCAGTGCTGTTCATGTTTGTATGTTCTCATTCTTTTAAAGAAGGGATCTCACTGTGCTGTGATTCAGGCTGATCCTGACTCCTATTCTCAAATAATCCACCTTCCTCCTGGGATTACACGTTCATGTACCACATCCTACTACCTCCCATGTGACACCTAGGAAAAGTACGGTGTGTCAACCATCTCTACCAAACAAGAAAATTCAGCAACTAAATCAGAGGCTGACCAGGTGATAACCACAGCCTAGCAGTCAAGGCAAGGTCAACTTGGCACTAGCCTGTATCCAGCTGGCTACTCAGCCTTGGGACATGATATGACCCATGTTACTGGCCAAATGTGCCCATTACCAACTGCAGTAGCAAAAGAAGTCTGATGAGCATGAGCAGGCATCCTCAGGGCTGTCCAACTTTGAGTGACAAGAATCAGATCTTTTGCACCTTAGTCAATCGGTAAGGAGCTTGGTCACTACTCACCATAGGCTGTCCAGGGTCTGAAAATTTCACTTTAATATCCTGCAGATGTTTTAAGATCGGTTCATCATATTCCTAACAAAGAGAGAGAGAGAAAAAAAACCCTGAACAACAGTCCACACCTCACAGCAATCACAGCTGCATGTGTCCCAGATGCTGGGTACTTGTCCCTATTGGCATCTTGTCTTTGTCTAGTAGTAACTTCTGGAAAGCAATGCAAATTTGTTCACTACGTATCTCTGGTGGCAGCAACAGCATGCCAAGAATCAGCTGCCCCCTCTCTCTAGAGTGTCATCAATGCTGGCTGCAAGGAAGTCCCATGCTCTCCTGCCACTACTTGACAATGCAGTTGGCAGTGTCACCAACCAAGACTTCTGGCTCCCAACATCTAAAATAACAAAGTAAAAGGCTTGGCATCAGGAGAGATGGCTAAATTAGTTGCTGGTCTTATTGCACAGTATTAACCAGGGACAATTAATATCCAAAATCTGCATATGCCACTTCTATAAGAACATAGAGCCGGGCGGTGGTGGCGCACGCCTTTAATCCCAGCACTTGGGAGGCAGAGGCAGGAGGATTTCTGAGTTCGAGGCCAGCCTGGTCTACAGAGTGAGTTCCAGGACAGCCAGGGCTACACAGAGAAACCCTGTCTTGAAAAACAAAAAACAAACAAACAAACAAAAAAAACCAAAGAACATAGAATACGTCAAAGCCTAACATACAGGAGTCAATGATTCCTGTTGCTCTATGATTTACAATGACTACTTCTTAGTACAGTAAAGAGCCTACAGGAGAAAAAGCTAAAGGAATGAAGACTTGACTTACAGGTTAGATTGTTAATTCATTCACTCTGAGGTTGGCATTGAATCCCAGAATTTAAGGTTCTAAACCTCTAAGAACTAAGCCTGCTAAAGGCCACATCTCAATTTTGAGGTTTTTTTTTTTGACGTCAGAGAATAAAAACAAACCATATTAATTAGGTATTTAACGGAAAAAAAGAAATCAAAAGATAGTTCTGGAAATAGGGCACACCAAAAGCAGTCACATCTCTGACACTGATAAAGGTACATGGAACTCTACACCAGTATGCCTGCTATGTTATGAACCTGATCTGAATGGCCAGCCCAGCAGCCTATCATGCATCTACTGCCACATCAAATGGGATGTCTGAACATCAAATGAGAACCAACATGGAGGTGTGAGAATAAGCACATACATATGCACTCCCATTAAAGTACCAACATTCTCTCCAAAAGCACAGCAATGTTACCAACAAGTCCTATGCCCCATCCCTCATGTTTACCAGAGCTGCCAGAAAGCTGGCCAGACCACACATACAACAGAGTGATACCAAGAGCTAGGCAATCTAGTACCTAAATACTACATTGGAAACTCCACCTCATTACAACTGAGTTTTATTTGGTTTAAACCCACCTAGCAGTGTGGGCAACAACACTCAGGACCACAGAAGAAAACACAACTGTCCCCATCAACCTGACTCACTCCCTTCCTTTATACACACTTCCCATCCCATAAAGCCAAAGAAGACTATGAGCCACCTGGGCCATACATGGACCATGTGAGGAGATTCTGAAAACACCTCTCCCCAGATTCCCTGTGGTCACAGGAAGAACCTTGTGAATAAGGTTTTGGTGTCCAATGCTGGACTCTATAGGACGTACAGGAGACAGTCTTTCAAGCTCTGGTATGGGCAGAATTGTCAGCCTTGACAAGAACTGCCAAAGAAAATTTGACCCCCTCCAACAAAGGTCTCTCCCCTAGATCAGAGTTGCTGCCTAAGTGTCAGTCCCCAAAAGGAGACTTTTCATTTATTTTAAAGACTCTCCCAGCAGCACCCAGGTAAGCAGTGTGTAACTACCACCAGACAATCCCTCAACATACTATAAGAGTTGTGCGTCACCTCAGTCTTCCCCAACCCACCTGCTCACCAGGCAGAAACCCCTCACCTGCACCAGCTCGCTAAGCATGTCCACATTTCTGAAGATAGTGAACCAAAACTCTGGGATGCCTTTGGGGTTCAGCTCTTCCACTGCTGCTGCTTCTTTCTCAGCTATGACTACTTTATTCTTCATATCTCCCTATAAACAGATTCAAAAGAATAAATAAAAGTCACTGAAATAAAAATTTAACACAGTTCAAGGACTTACTGTAAGACATTATTTTAGGGCCATTACATAATTTCCTTTTTCTTCTGTGTTTCCAAACCATGGAGTTGGAAAACATATTCATGGTATTATGTCTACATGTAATTTCACAATGAATGTCCTATCGAGGGGAGAAAACAGATTGCCACCAGACTTGTGAAAGAGTGTTCAGTCTGACTTGGTGAGCTTCCTATCATCATACAAGAATGAAAACTACAACAGCTTCTAGCAGACACATATATGGAGTCACATCCATTACCACAAATGTGAAGAAAATCCCAATTTGGGCCAGGTATGCTAGTTGATACTTGTTATTCCAGCACCTGAGAGGCAGAGGCATAAAGACTGCCATAAATTTGAGGGCAGCCTTATCTATATACCAAGTTCCAGACCAGCCAAGACTGTCTCACAAACAAACAAACAAACAAACAAATAAACCAGGCACACAAACCCCAAGAAAACCTGTTTGCTGCAGCAGCACTGTAACCAGCAAACTGTTCAGCAACTTGGGTATGCAGTTCCCAGGAAACAGAGCATGAGGGTAGATACACTGGACAAACACCAGCACTGTGATCAGGTAGGCCATGCAGTACTATGAAAAGAGACTTGTAACACAGCCTCAGAAGAAGGTAGGTAGGTTAAAAGAAGCTGAACCAAATGAATTCTCAATGCTTGTCATGACAGCCTGTTATGTCAGAACAACATGCAGAGATCTTTAAACCATCTAAATGGGCTTTCCTTAGATCATTAGGAACAAACTAGTGCAAAACCACAGCTTCAATCAAGTTCTGCCAATGGCATATGCCATCTATGTGAGTTTAAGGTCAGCCTAGTCTACACATGAGTGAGTTCCATGTGTACCAAGATTATATAATGAGATCCTGTTTCAAAAAAGGCATTGCATATAACCATAAAAATTAAACATATTTCCAAAAAAGATCACTGAAAGATGCTTCTACTAAACCAAAGCTATCTGTTATCTAAACACAAAACACAGGGGCTTCGGTGTAACTCAGTGGTAGAAAACTTGCCTTTTGCTTGTGAGCCTCTGGGTTACAACCCTAGTACAAAAAAAAAAAAAAAAAGCAGCAAACAAACCACCAGGATACAAGTTAAAATTAACTTTGTACCATGCTAGAACTTTGCATGGGATGTGGATGAGACTACCATAGAAAATGGCTAGGATGTCATGATGCTGCTGGTCATTCAGTTACCTGCTAGATGAGCAGCCTGAGGCTCCAGATGGTCCCTCTCTACATGTGCTTTCCTCCCCACTGAGGAGGAAGATGTGCAGCTCCCACCCATTCTAACCTCCACCTCGTCTAGCCTTGAACTCTCATTGGTTAGCTTTGTTCCAGAGACAAGGTCTCACTATGTAGACCACGCTGGCCTCAGGAAATCTGGCTGCCTGTCTAATCCTGGGGTAAAAATCATGTTCCACCATGCCTCGCACACTACAATCAAGTATTGCTTGCCTGATCTATATTTCAATCCTATGCTGTACATAGATCACTGAGAAGGGGTCACAACTCACTTGTCACGGTAACTGAGCACACTGCCTCAGATACCATAGTGTCACCACAAACCCATGTACCCAGTGAAGAGAAGAGAATTACTGTAGTCCCACTCTACAAAGCTTGGCAGACAGAAACCATGAAGCAGAACAAGCCCTTGAGTTCATCTCCCAATACCACAAAAATAACTAGGATTAAAGAACACTACATAACAGAAACTTACAGCCAACTTGTCATCCTCCTCATTCTCACTGTGCCACGCTGACTCTGCATCTGTGGGCTCCACATCACCAGTGATGAATTCTCTTCTCTACATAAAAAGCCAAGAGTCCATCAGCACATTAGGCTCTCTGCAAACTCAAAAGCTAAGATGTTTACACAGGCCTCTGAAAAGACAGTCACAAATTCTCTAGGTGGTACCGTGTCTCACCCCACAGGAGTTACTGCATGAGGCAAACACATTAACAAGTACGCACCTTGTCAAATAGAGGCTGGTACAAGGCCGCATACTTCCTCTCCAGGTCATGAACTTCCTCGTAGAACTTAGCTTCTATGTGCGCACACCTCACCTGGAGCTGCTTCAGAGCATTAATTCTTCTTTTGACAGCTTTGGGTAAACTATAAAAAAAACAGGAAATAAAACACCTGGTGCCAGCAAACAACTACATATATACATACAATAAGCACCCTGACTAGAAAGAGCTGCTAAAACCCTACTTGCAAACAAGCCAATAGAATAGACTGCTTGCTGGGCAAGGTGATGCAATCCTTTAATTCCAGCAGAAGCAAGTGGATTCTCTGTGAGCACAAGCCCAGCCCCATCTACTTAAGAAGTTCTAGGACAGCCAGGGATATGTACAAAGACCATGTCCAAAAAACAAACAAACAAAAAAAACAAACAAAAAAACAAAACAAAAAATACCAAAAACCACTCAATCCCATAATATATCAAAAACAGAAATGGGGGATCAGTTTGTAAAACTGCTCTCTTGTCCTAACCAAACTGGTGAAAAACGACCAAGAACACACCTGCAATCCCATCATGCAGGAGACTACAATAAGAGTAACAAAAGCTGAATGTTATTCTGAGCTATACAGAGAACAAGGAGGAAAAATGTAGGTCACAGGTGAAAACACTAACCTAATATGCAGATAGCGTTTGGTCCAATTCCTACTACACAGAGGTACAGGTACACACACACACACACACACACACACACACACACACACACACGCGAACAAAAGAGGTAGGGATCTGGGCATGGTGTTATGCACCTATAAATCTCAACACTTGAGAAGTGGATATAAAAGGATCAGATGTTCAAGGATAGCCTTGGCTACATAGTAAATTCAAGCCCAGACTAGGCCACCACATAAGATTTTATCTTTCAAAAAACCAAAGACTGGGGCTGGAGAGATGGCTCAATAGTACTTGCCGCTCTTACAGAAGATCTGAGTTCAGTTCCTAGCATCATGTTGAGTGGCTCAGAACTACCTAAAACACGTGCTCTGGGGAAATCAGATGCCTCTGGCTTCTATGTGCATCTGCACGAAAGTTATGTATACACACACATATACACTCATAAGTTAAAACAAACAAAAGCCCACCAAAGAGATGGCTCAGTGTGTAAGGGCACTAACAAGCCTAATGACCTGAAGAGTTTGGTCCCTGAGAATCACAAGGTAGAACAAGAAAACCAACTCCTTTAAACTGACCTCTATATGCACACAATAGGATGAAATAATGGGAGCTTTGCAAAACTCCCACACAAGGACCAGACTCAGGCTAGCTGACAAGGACCCAGGCCTATGTGGGCCCTGACACTAGAACTGAACAGACACATGAAGTCTATAGATACCGACACAGAATTCTCTCTTCTAGTCACACCAGCTAAAAGTGTCTTTGCTTTGGATCCAGAGTTTCTTTTTCTCTTTGTTTGTATGAGCACTCCTAAAATCAAAAGAAAAAGAAAAAAAACAAACCAAACAAAAACCATGCAAGGCAGTGGTGGCACATGCCTTTAGTCTCAGCACACAGGTGACAGAGGCAGTCGGATCTCTGAGTTCTAAAACCAGCCTGGTCTACAGAGGAAGTTCCAGGAGAGCCAAGGCAACATAGAGAAGCCCTGTCTTGAAAAACCAAAATATGAAAGGAAAAAGAATTTAACCTATAAAATTATTTAAATTAAAACTCAAAAAGTAATGCCACCAGATGAAAGAAAACGTGTTCACAGCAAATTTGAATACAGGTCCACATAAGCAGCTAGTGCTGGCCCAACAGATATGTGAGGCTGTGTTCTCACAAGCCATCATCACCCTGTGCCTTTGTCCTAGTGAGCAAAACCAGAAAACCAGACACCATTCTCAACTCCCTCACTACATCCTACCACCTACTCCATCAAGAGAGAAAGAAAGAAAGAAAGAAAGAAAGAAAGAAAGAAAGAAAGAAAGAAAGAAAGAAAGAAAGACAGACAGACAAGCTAAACAGGACAAAGACAAACTATACCCACTGAGTAGAGTAAACTCAGAAAGGCCTCTAAATGGACACAAGGAAATGTGCAGTGTCTTTTCCTATTGTAATAGCTAAGCCTTACCCAACTGAATATGGAGCCTGAGGTGGGTCATCTCTTCCAGAAGGCAGACAAGGAGACCCTGAGAAGCAATGCCTCTCATTTCTACCATACAACAGAGTCAGGTCACAGGCCTCCCAACAAGGGTATAGGTACAGGTGTTCTACAACTGGCCAGATAGCACTCAGGCTTATTTGCTGAGCCCTCTGAGTACCAGCCACATGGTGGCACTGTACACTACCAAGCAGACAAGATGAGCTGCTCCTGAGTTGTGAAAACCACACTTGCTCCTACTCTAAGGCAAGAAGATGCTTGTTCTGTTGCCCGACTGGCTATATACTTACGTTTCTATGTAACTAGAAGGAGTGTGAGAGACGTTGTCAAGACGTTCCTGCAAAGCTGCCAGCACTTGTGGGTTCTGCATCACCTGGTCTGTGAGTTTTTCTATGAGGAGTTGGAATGAGAACAGTTATTTAGCAGCCAAGAACTCAAACACCAACATGGATCTCAAACTTGTTAACCCAAGCTACACTCAAAAAGATGAGCAAGGAAATGCCATGACAAGAGCTTATCTCATAATAAAAAACCAAGAGAGAGCTGTACTGTAACTCAATAGTCCATATAGTACTTGCCTAGCATATGAAGCCCTGGGGCTCAATCCTTATTATCACAAATGTCTGTTAGAAATATGTTCCCAGCTGGGTATAGTGGCAGAGAATCCTACTCCCAGCACTCAAGAAGGAGAAAGGCAGGCAATCTTAATTCTGAGGGTAGCCTGGACTATACAGTAAGCTCCAGGACAGCCAGGGCTACACAGAGATCTACATAGAGCTATCTCAGAAAACAAACAAAAAAGTAGTACCCATCCTCTAATGATTTTTAAGCCAGTATTCAGTATAAGAAAAGAGGCCTGTGTTGGGTCCAGATAATAAGAAACAGTAGCACCTCAGACTACATTTGCTTTAAAATAAACAATTATATAAATTCCCAATACATGTCTACTTATCTTTACTCCTAATGTCTAAATATAGCAAAATACTTGTTTAGAGACATATCTTTATTAAAGTATCTTTGTTTGGGGGTGGGGTGGGGGTGAGGAGGCCTTAGGAGGCAGAGGCAGGTGGATCTCTGAGTTTGAGGCCAGCCTGGTCTACATAGCCAATTCCAGGACAGTCAGAGTTGGTTACACAAAGAAAACCTGTCTCAAAAAGAAACAAAAAAGTATTTTTGTTAATCACCCCAGTAGGTGGTTGGTGATAGTCAGAGGCTCCTGCCTGTAGCCAGCTAAACCCTAGGCCCCTGAGATCATTGACTATCAACTTTCAGGGGCTGGTAATTAACTCTGGTTACACCTTGTCCCCCAGTCCCACTGGTGTTTGGAAGCCAAGGACAAAATTAGCTTCTAAAGCATCCACCCACTTAATCCACAGAGATGGCTCTCCCCAGAATGCCCTCTTCCTGGAAAGCCCTTTCCCTACCCAAACCTACCTACAAGTACTCTGACCTACTTCTCACATGTCTTTGTTCTGAACTTGTAATACTGAGCTATAATTTAGAACCTGTTCCCCAAATAGAAAAAAAGGAGACACCAAGAGAGTAGGAACTGTCCTTTACTAGGTAATGGAGTCGAACCTGGAACTTAAGACCCTCCTGCTTGGACTCCCACGTGCTTAGAGACAGATTAAGATTTTTTTTTTCCATTTTATCTTTATTATTGTGTGTATGTATTCAACCAGATGTGCACTGCACATGACTGCATGTGAATTTACATACACAACAATACATCCAGGTTTTGCTTCAAAGTTGGGTGCAAGTCTGGTTAACATTGTGACACTCAGGTCATTGTGAGAGCCAGTGAATGAGGTTGTATTGTTCTCTTTCACGGAGCTAAATTTCTGAATGAATCACTAAACGAAATGCTGATTTTTCTCTTAAGACAGAAATCCATTACTGCTACTATAATTATTGTAACAAAGTGGTTCTGGAGAAGAGACTCCCAGCCATACATGGAAACCCTCTATAATCATGCTTCATCCATTGCACTGACCTGTATTATTGGCATTTTTAGCAGTTTCCACAGAATCTGCAGGGCCTCCTTCTGAAAGACTAAAACAACAAGTTTACAAAAAGTGTTATGAACAGACTTTCAGAGATAGCATCAACTGGCACTTTGAGTGTTTATCCAATGTATTAGGGATCTATCTGTACAGCAAGAGACTCCAGGTCAGGTGAAGACCAACATGCTGCACCATTCCTTTTATCCCAGCACTTGGGAGGGAGAGGCAAATTTATCTCTGTGAGTTCAAGGCCAGCCTTGTCTACATAGTAAATTCCAGGACAGATAGAGCTACATAATAAGACTTTGTCTCCCAAGGAGGAAGGGAGACGACAAACAAAACAGATAACACAGACATGAATGTGTTATTTAAGGGAGATGTCTTCCCATCTAAAAAGATCACACCCACCCAGCTCTCTTTCCTCACACCCAATAGAAAGCCTGCTCTGCATAGGTCTAATCTGTAGCCCTTGCCAAAGCTTCTTAATTTTCCCTTTCTGTTTGAGATAGGGTCTAACTCAGTAGCCCTGGCTTCCTAGGATGACAACTGTGAACTACCATACTTTGCCTCATTTTTATCTCTATAATTAAAAAAAAAAAGCCGGGCAGTGGTGGCACATGCCTTTAATCCCAGCACTTGGGAGGCAGAGGCAGGCGGATTTCTGAGTTCGAGGCCAGCCTGATCTACAGAGTGAGTTCCAGGACAGCCAGGACTACACAGAGAAATCCTGTCTCAAAAAACCTAAAAAGAACTTGTATGTCCCATGTGTGATGATACACACCTTCAATCCCAACACTTGAGAACAGAGGCAGGTGGATTTCTAGGAATTTTGAGCCATCTTTGTGCACACAGGGAGTTCTAGGCCACCTAGGGCCTAGAACACATTGAGACCCTGTCCTAAAAACAAAACAAAAACAAAACCCAACAACAAAAATTATGTTTATGAATATGCCCCCATGTGGGAATGTGCAACGCCAATGGAAGCTACAAGAGGACACCAGATCCACCGAACTGGAGTTTGTGAGTAGCCTTATGTGGGTGATGGGAACAAAAAGTTAGGTCTGTGCAAAAGTGGTACACATTCTAAACCACTGTGCCATCTCTCCAGCCTACTAATTTTTATTTTGACAGTCAATCTCTTGATTGTATAATTGATCTGTAGTGCTTAAACCACACTACTGGAACAATAAGCTACTCTCTGGTCAGCAGAGCACACAAGTGGCCTGTGCAGTAGATGCAATGACAGCAGTGCTCTGCCAACTATGCAGCATCACCAAAACAATGGGCTTCACAAACACAGGCCTGACTGGCTACCAAAGAGCCATGTATTTCTTCCTGAAGACAATGTTCTACAAGCTCATTCCGTGCATCTCTGTGACATGAAAGCAGAGGGAGCTATGGGAAAATGAAGAGCAATTATGAGCAAAATTAATGACATACATGTATGAAAATGCCATGATAAAATCTTCTATTTTATATGCCAACTAAAAAAAAATCAAAACAACACTCAACCAACACTGACTTTGACTATCCCACTAAAAACCTCTTCCCTGATCCCTGGTAGGTATGTCAGATTAATGACTGTCAGATGTATGTCAGATTAATGACACAGGGATTAAAGGCTAGGGACTACAGAAACTTTGTCTGAGACAGCTAGGGTCTGAGATCAATTTCTTTGCCAGCATAAGGGAGTAAAAAGGACATTACCACTTGAAGTTTAAACTAGTTAACTTTGAATTCTAGTTTCTGAAATACAATGGGCTCTAGCTCCCTACCCAAACTTTGAAGTCTAGTAAGCAAAGTCCATTTTGGCTTACCTGTTTTCTGCCATCTGAACGAATGCCTTTGTCCCCTACAAATGAGAAAGTTCACAATTATATTCATACACACACACATACACACAAATGTTGCATTACCCTGCCAACACCATGATGGCACTCCACCAGTCATGGCAGTTGAAGGAAATGGAAATGTCCTGATGTGACCTGAAGTTATATGAGCAGGCACATGTATAATCTCATAGACAGGTACATTTAGATAGATCTAGGTTTCTCTGGACATGGTGGTGCATGTCTCTAATCTTAACAACTGGGAGGCAGGCACAAATAGATCACTATGAGTTTGAGGTATAGAGAGTTCTTGGACTCACAAGGGCTACACAATGAGACCATGTCAAAAGATAAAACTAAACTGAAGTGAATTTTCATGCTTTACTTAAAAAAAAATTTTTATGTGACAAGGTCTCATGTATCCCAGCCTGGCCTTCAATTTGCTTTGTAGTTGATGACCCTCCATGTCCGACCCTCAGCCTCCACATTCCAGTACTAGGATGACAAGTATACACCAGCATGCTGGGCTTATGCAGGACTGAGTATGAAACCCAGGGCTTCACGTACGCTACAAACTGAGCTGGATTCACATCATTCAGAATGATTCTGAATCACTCTGGATTCACTGACCAGACTAATGTGACCAGACTTCATAATAAGAACAGAATCTTAATCTGCCTTCTCTCTACAGTAAACCTAACAGACCCACATAGCAACTTATTCAAACAATTCAAAAGCACATTGTTTGAACTGTCTCTCAAATATATGGAATAATGTTAATCTATCTTTTATGCCACCTGCACTGTAAAAACACCATGAGACACTCCACAAGACTACTCTGTAAGAATACTTGATCTCAAAGCAACTGTCTCACTTCAAAGGGGTATGATGAAGTGAGGCAACCATACATAGCCCCTCACACTTGCCAAGTGTACATGAGACTTTCTGAAAGCTATGCTCCTGCCAGGAAAACAGGAGACAGGAAAAACAGTTCCAGCAAGAGTGATGATGGACAACTGTTTCGCAGTTAACTAGCTGAATCTTCTATTAGATTTTTATTGTTTAAAAATAAAATATGTGCAGGTGGTTTTAAATCCCAGGACTTGGTAGGCACAGGCAAGTGTCTACATATTGAGGTTCAGGCCAGCCAGGGATACACAAGAAACTCTGTCTCAAAACAAACTCAAAATGCACAAAAACACGTCACACGTCTTAGTTAAGGTTTCTATCACTACAATGAAACATGACCAAAAAGCAAGTTGGGGAGGATAGGGTTTATTCTGCTTACACGTCCACATTGCTGTTACCACCAAAGGAAGTTAGAACAGGGACTTCAAGCAGGGCTGGAACCTGGAGGCAGAAGCTGATGCAGAAGCCATGATGGATGCTACTTACTAGCTTGCTTCCCCTGTTTTACTCAGCCTGCTTTCTTATAGAACTCAGGACCACCAGCTCACTTGTGATCCCACCCACAATCAGTGGGGCTCTCCCCCATTGATCACTAATTGAGAAAATGCCTTACAGCGGGATCTCATGGAGGCATTTCCTCAACTGGGGCTCCTTCCTCTCTGAGAACTCTTGTGTCAAGATGACACACAAAACCAGCCAGTACATATGACTAGTCTTTTTTAAATTAAGTTATTTTATAGAAGCAAAAAGAGTAAAGCAACAATAGTACTGCAGATGACCAAACCCACAGCAACACAGCAGCTTCCCACACTCAGCTTCACCCCCTAAAGAATCTTCCTCAGACCACAGATCTTCTTTGGAGTCCAAACCCACTGGCCACAAGATCTACATTCCTACATCTACTCTACAAAGTTCACCATTCTCAATGCCAGCAAACACTATTGTCCAGATGTCCAACAAGGCTTTTCTACTATATATTTTTGTTCATGGTCTCCACTGAACACCTAGGTCAAATGTGGTTTCCTACCTCTTGCTATTCTTAACTTAGATGGCAAGATTTTCATATAAGATTTCTGGGTTAAAGAATGAATAATAAATACTATTGAGGTGGTTACACACGGGTACTCCTTACACTTCGGCTCCACGATTACAGTACTCCATTACCTACCTATGACTAAAAGCAGCTTCTCCAGACTACACTCCCAGCCCACCACCCCTTCCCAGCTGTACAGTAATCCTCAGCACATGAGTCTCACCATCAAAGACTGAGAAGCCACAACCACTTGAAGCACTTGTGACGGTCAATTGCCTCACCACAGTGGTACAGCAAGCCAGCCCATCTCTATGACACATTCACACAGACTATCCTGCCCCGTGATTCTTTTCTCTGAACACTGAGACCAAGGCAAGACAAAGTGCCAGCACATGCTCCAGCACCATCCCTTACTATGTTTACCAAACACCGAAAGTCATAAAGAGCTATGCAGGTTTTAGAGAAACATCCATTTTGTTTTTAAGGTTAAAATGACAGGTTAAATACTGGTTTTATGAAGCCATAGCACAAAGCCTTATTAGGCAAACTACTTTTAAAAGGCATCAAGAGCTAGATATAATGATGCACACCTGTAATTCCAGGACTTGAAAGGTATGGTTATGCTGGCTACATGGCGAGTTAGTGACCAGTCTGGGCTACAGAAGAACCTGTCTTAAAACACAAAACAAACAAAAACCCTAACAATCAAGTTAGATTATGACAGTCATCAGGGGATACTAAGTTAATAGAATACAGAGGTTTAGGTTCATTTCCTTTCTTTTTTTTTTTGCTCCAAACATAAAAAAAAAAAACTTTCAGAAGAAAAACTTTAAACTTTATAGCAAATTTTAAACTGGCCACTTCTTAAAGATTAAAAAACAAATCAAACAAATAAATCTTTTATGTATATGAATGTCTGCCTGCATGTGTAGCATATATGTGTAGTACCCAAGGAGGCCAGAAGAGGGCACCAGATCCTCCTGCAACTGGAGTTATAGGTGGTTTTGATCCACCACATAGGTAATGAGAACCAAACCCATGTCCTCTGCCAAGAGCATCCAGTGCTCTTAACCATGAACACCTAAACTGGCACTCCTGAAAGACAAAGAAAGGCATAAGCTGTGGAGTGGCATCACACTTCACACTACACTTTTATATATTATCTGTCTTCATAAAAGCCAAAGGTCTTCAACATCTTAACACAAGATAAACAAATGAGTACTATTAACCTAAACTGGCCTGGAGGGATGGGTCAGTGGATAAAAGGTGCTAGCCACTAAGCCTGATAATGTGAGTTTGATTACTGGGAACCATATGGTAGGAAAGAATAGACTCCCAAAAGTTGTTCTGACTTCTACTTCCGGCACATATGCATGTATGTATACAAATATAACAGAACTCTAAAGCACAGTAACTTGGTTCACAGTCTGAAAGATGACAGGCTGACCCAGAGAAGATAAGGATGTGTAACCAGGAGTACTGACTTGCAACTTAAGATCAGAAAAGGCCCTTAGGGGTCAGGGGGGTTGTTTGTGCCATGTACACAGAGGTCAGAAGACAATTTCCAGGAGTCAGTTTTTTCCTTTTAACCATGTGGAGCCAGGGAACACATTGAGGTCTTAAGGTTTGGCAGCAGATGCCTTTGTCAGCTGAGCCATCTTGTTAGTCCATAATATTTTTAAGCAACCAGATGTACATTAGATTGATCAGTGCAGGTGCTGGGTGGTGCTTTTCTGCTTACTTTTGAAACTTCTCATCAGTGGGGCCAAGGACCAAAGAAGGAAAACTTTCAGGAGGGCAGAGCATATCCACTGACTCAATGCAGAGTTCAGGGCTTAGCAAAGGACTTGCCATGAAACAGGTAGCCAGATATCTCGGCCCAGTTAATCCCTGGATGTAAGTACCATGGTACTGAACTCCCTTTGAACATCTTGGCCTATCCTATGCAATTTTGGAAGACACAAGATGAGGACATTTCCTTAGTCACACCTGCTTACAACATGTACTGAAATACCTCCAGCAGAAAATAGCAGGTCATCTCACCAGAGATTTCTAGAGGCCAAACCACCAGGCTTCAGGAAGAAAGGAAAAATTATGGTTTTTTTCCCCCCTCAAGCAAAATGCTCCTCTGGTAGGAGAGGTACCTCTGCAGCACTTGGAAGTTATGAAAATATGAACAAGCAGATATTAGAACAGTTTTCTTAATCCAGCACTGACTATCTCTTCTTGTTAAGAGGCATTTATTTTCTTCCCTCAAATTTGAAATTACAAACAACCTCCCAAGACTCTGGTGTCTCAAAAGTATCCTCCCACATCTGACTCTCACCTGTTCCTGCTGCAGGAAGGAGAAGACCACTCACTATTTGCTTTACACTGGAGACCCTAGACATGTGCTGGAGATCTTGCATGACTAAGACACAAAGCCATAAAGCTACTCTGAAGTAACTGTATGTGACTTAAATCATAAATATAATTGTCTCTTTGTACATAAAGTTCAGAGCTGCCAGGCAGTGGTGGCACACGCCTTTAATCCCAGCACTTGGGAGGCAGAGGCAGGTGGATTTCTGAGTTCAAAGCTAGCCTGGTCTACAGAGTGAGTTCCAGGACAGCCATGGCTACACAGAGAAACCCTGTCTCCAAAAAAAAAAAAAAAAAAAAAGGAAGGAAGGAAGGAAGAAAGCAAGCAAGCAAGCAAGCTCAGAGCTAATCTCACCTCACTAGACTGAGTTTCCTGGACACAAGACTGAAGCATACTGTTACAAACACAGGAAAAAGGAATTTAAGGCTATGCAGCAAGCAGTCAAAATCAAAAGGTAAATCTGTAGTCTTCACACTATAAAAATAAAATATGCCTCCTGTTACTGTAAAATTCAATAGCAGACCAAAATAAAGCAGGTGAGCTTCCTCTACCGAAGACAGAGGAGACTGGACTGCTAATGAAAACAAATCTACCCTATCACCAACTTTGTCTTCAAAATGCCTAAAAGTCCAATCCAAGGCTCTGCTATTTACCCATTCTTACCCACCAGATCTATGATCAATGACAGGTCTCCCAAGTGTGGTCTAGGAAGCCTTCATGCTACCACTGTCAGGTAGTAGTCCCTAACAAAGGCTGAGGGTAGAAGTCCCTGCTATTTCCCTAGCATCTTCCTCTACTACAGCAATAAGTGCAGCAAAATGACATCAGTTTTAATTCTAAATGCCTAAACACACTTCATCTTTCTTGCTGTAGTAGTTGCTAGCTGGCCTCGAGCTTCCTGCCTCTACTACCTCTGAAGTGCTGGAATACAGATACAAGCCAGCACATCCACTTATCCTTCCTTCTAAGTAAACAAAAAACCTTGTGCTCACTGGCTAGAGGTCCACAACAGCTCAGTACTACTGTCTTTTTTTTTCTTTCTTTCTTCAAAACAGGTCACCTGGGCCTGGATCCAAGCAGCAATGTACTCATCTATCTGCCTATTTCATACTGAGAGTTGCCCTTAGACCTTCACAGATTTAAACCACCCTTTCGTAAATGTTTAACTTATTTATGTTTATGGGTGGTTTTCCTGCTTGTCTGTGCACTACTTGCAGAGGCCAGACGAGGGTACTGGAACCCTAAGACTTAAGTTATAGACCATTAGGAGCCACCCTATGAGTACAGGACTCAAACGCAGGTCCTCTGCAAGACCACCCAATGATCTTAACTGCTAAGCTATCTCTCCCACCCCTAAATTACTCTCTTGCCCAGAATTTTTTTTTTCAAAGACAAAATTTTAAGTACTGGCAATTTTATTTGTATACAAATACAACACAAACCTTTATATACAGCATAAAGACAGCTAGCAGGGACATAGCATACTTTCACTAACAAGAGGCAAATGGGGGGGGGAGTGAGATAGGATCTTGCTGTGTTATCAAGATAGATTTTAAAGCGTTTCAGAGCAGTTGGGAATATAGGTGTATACTGCCACATCTATCTTAGTTGGGACATTTTAAGATTCAAGTACAATGTTAGACCAAAGTGGTGAACTACCTCATCCCTAAGAATACCATCCCTGCAGGAGTATTATTTATTGCCCACTGGTAAACTCTATATACTCAACTACACAAAGCCAAATGGCCAGTTCATAAGCCATAATGGCCATGATCTTTCTGAGAAGATCCCAAAATATATACATTGTTCCCCAGAACTTTGGTAACAAAATTCCAGAAAATGATAAAATCGCTATTATTTTCACTAGTGATTCTATATTAACTCTGAAAAACAGTTCTGGACCTAAAGCTAAAATATCAAAATGTGTTTAGATGCTATGACATTGTGAACCAGTAACATTGGTCAACTAAGGAAAAAAAGACCAACAACTGAGTTTTACAGCATTTACTTTAGTTAAAGGCATAAAATGATACAACTGTAGACTACCCGACAGGTGAAAGTATCTCTCTTTTACCCCAATCCTATCAAAGCTCTGTTTTCTCTGAATCTCACTGTTCATCTGAATGGTATTTGTTTCAATACGGTATTTATTTAATAATAAATGTTTATTATTAAAACTGAGCCAGATTAAATCTATTTGAGTTTAGATGCAAACTACCATCACACTAAACCTAAGGGACTTAATTTGCAATACAGGTCGAACACTCCTATACCAAAAAATCAGAACATCCCCAAACTCATTTCTTTTCGAGTTTTATGACACATTTTGTACTTTCAGTTTAGAGATGCTCATCTGTCAAACCTACAAATATTCCACAAACCGAACCACTTCTGAACTCAGCCGTTTCTTGCTAAGGCACACTCAGCCTGTTGCACCTAAATCACGTATTATTGTGAATGGAATTTAGACACGTCAGGAGCTTAAAGGAGCCTCTGGTGTGTAGTAAGCAGAGATTAGTCACCGAGAGGAGGCAACACTATGACAGGAAGGCGGCAGTGTAACTTAAAAACATGTAATTTTTGGACCAAAAACTTGAACTTCAGTCTTATTGCTGGGGAATATGCATACGCTCGTTATGGCAGCGTACGCGCAGGAAGCTACCGCGGAAATTCCTCCAAAAGTCAGCAAAGCAGAGTTGGAGGACGTGCAAGGCAACTTGCCTCAAGGATACCCCTGGGAGAAGGGGTACTGATGGCAACCCTGAACCCGTTAGAGGCGCACGGGTCTCAAGCCTCAGTGTGTGTCACTACGCTAGTTCCGCCTGCACCGCAGGCTCAGAGAGTGAGGTCTGACCAGGGCACTGTGCGGAGAGCATGCAAAGCCCGGAAGGGCGAGGCGGCGGCCCAGTAGACCCCTTCCTTTCCAGGCCCGCCTCGCTGGGGAGGCCTTATCCCCCTCAAGGAACCGCTTGCGCGGCTTCGCGTGGGCTCTCGGGCGGCGGGAACAAAGCGAGCTGACCTTCAGCCGGGGGCGGGGCTGCACGGAGGAGGGACGGGCCCGCCATCGCCCGCCACCCACCACACGGACCTCTGACCGGGCCGCCGCCCGCCTCTGCTCGCCGCCATGGCGCGTCGGCCTGCCCGCGCCGCCCACCCCCTGCCTCCACCTCCTCCGCCCCAGTCCCTCGCTAGCCGCCCGCCGCGCCGTTACCCGCCAGCACCACACCTCGCGCCTCCTGCGGCAGTGGCGCCCGTCCTAAGCTCGCTCCCGGGCTGCGCCGCCGTGGTCGCCAACAAAACCACCTGCCATTGGCCGTATCTCCAGGCTCCGCCCTCTGCGAGCAAAACGGGCGACGAATGGACAATAGAGCTGTTTATCAACTGCACCCACGCTAGGAGAGGCAACATCCAATCAAAATCTGTTGAGGGGGGCATGGCGCCGAGCCTAAGCCCGCGAGCTATATGTAAATAGAGTAGTGACGTTTGTTCCGGCGCACGCGCAGCTCCGTGCTTCTTTAAAGGGGCCGCTGGGCGGGTGTAAGAATTTGGACTTGTAGCTTGAACCCGCTATGATCTCTAGGGTTTGAATTTCCTGGGCCTTGTCTGCAGCGCTCTTCCCAGATTACTTACAAACCCCTGCCCTCCCCGGCCTGGGGAAAGCACCGCCTACTTCCCAAGGCCTTCTGGCCCTCTGACTACGGTGCCTGCCTGGGACTATCCTTCTGATAGAAAAAGTTCAACACATCCGTACTGGTTGGTTTTGTGTGTCAACTTGATACAAGCTAGAGTTATCTGAAAGGAGGGAACTTTGAGAAAATGCTTCCATAAGATCCAATTGTAAGGCATTTTCTTAATGATTGATGGGGGAGGGCCCAGCCCATTGTGGGTAATACCATCCCTGGGCTGATGGTGGGTTTTGTAAGAAAGAAAGCTGCCCAAGCCAGTAAGCAGCACCTCTCCATGGCCTGTGCATCAGCATCTGCCTCCAGGTTCCAGCCCTGCTTGAGTTCCTATCCTGACTTCCTCAAATAATGAACAGCAATATAGAAATGTAAGCTAAATAAACCCTTTCCTCCCTAACTTGCTTTTTGGTCATGGTGTTTTCATGAAAGCAATAGACACTATCTGATTAAATAAATAGCTTGCTTGCAGATAATGTGTGCTTTCCTAACAAAATCTACAAACTGGGTAGTTGAAAACAAAGCTCGGTATGGTGGTGCAGCATGCATGTCTTCATCCCAGCACCTGTGAGATTAGAGATGCAGGTGATAGAATGAGCAGTTGGTCACTTTCAGCTATGTAGCCAGTTTAGGGCCAGTCTGAGCAACATCCAACCCTGTCTCAAAAACAAACAAAAGTTAAAATGAAGTGTGGTTACTGAACGCCAGAGGGTTTACAGCATTGTAAACTGTAGTCTCTCTCATCTTTAAATTGGGACTATATATAAACAGTTTCATTTACAAAATTAAGAAAAGTAATTAAGCTCATATGTCTTTAAATTTTTCTCACATGCATCAAGATACAAGGTTGTTTTTTGGTTGGTTGGTGGCTGGTTTTCCAAGACAGGGTTTCTCTGTGTAAAAGCCCTGGCTGTTCTAGAACTTGCTCTGTAGACCAGGATGGCCTTGAACTCACAGAAATCCACCTGCCTCTGCCTCCCAGGTGCTGGGATTAAAGCCGTGCAGCATCACCGCCGGGTTTTTACTTCATTTTTATTTGGGGAGTGGATGTGGTTAAATCAGACAAGTATAGAAAATAGTTTGGCAGCCAGAGACTCCATTTGGTTTGGACTACACACACACTCCTCTTCTAATATTGCTATGGGCAGTGTAAAAGTTCACCCAACTTATTTTTTTTAATATTAAAAAAGAAAAAAAAAGACACCAGGCAGTGGTGGCACACACCTTTAATCCCAGCACTCAGGAGACAGAGGCAAGCAGATCTCTAAATTTAAGGCCAGCCTCTGGGTCTATCACAGAGTATTTCTGATCTGTACTATTCACCTTTCGATACAATTTCCTAGCTACCTTACAATCTGTGTGTATCTTTATTTCAATCCCTTGAATAAAATGCTCAGACCCCAACAGCTAGTAATAAGTTTAATAACAATATTTCATTATTTATCTTTGAGACAGAGTCTACGTAGCCCTAGGCTGTGAACTCATAGAGATCTGTCTGCTTCTACCTCCTAGGATTAAAGGTGTTCACCACCATGCCTGGGTTAATAAAGCTATTTGAATACAGGCTGAAGCATAGGAGTTAAGAGAGGGCCTTAGAAGGTTTGGGGGGGTCTACAGCATGACAAAACTTAATTTTTAAATGTTAATAAAATGTTTAGTCTTATTGTTTATTTTTATCTTCTGGTAGTTCTGGCTGTCCCAGAACTTGTTCTGTAGACCAGGCTGGCCTCAAACTCAGAGATGCACTTACTTCTGCCTCCCAAGAACTGAGATTAAAATCATGTGCCACTATCACCCAGTTTAAAGTTAATTTTTAGCACAAATAATGTCTAGAATGTGTGTGTGTGTGTGTGTGTGTGTGTGTGTGACGTGGTGTTCTTTCAGAGGTGTTCACTTGGAATCATTAGGGTACCCCATGTGTCACATGTCAGTGGCTAGATACAGAGAGAACATTAAAACCATGTGGTACAGTTAATTTCAGTGGAATGTACACATGGAGGTTTTCATTTTTATTTATTTATTTATTTATTTATTTCCTATGTGCTTCTGTAAGATTGGCTTGTAGGCAAGTTGCTGGGGGCATTTCTTGATTTTGCGGTTGATGAGGAAGGGCTCAGTCCACTGTGGATGGTGTCACGCCTGGGCTGGTGGTCCTGGGTTATATAAAGAGCAAGCTGAGCAAGCTGAGCTATTGCTGTAAATTACATCCTTTGAGCAATCTGACTTAGCCACAGGGTCACATCAACAGCTGATCTTAAGGTAGGTAGGTTAGCCTGGCTTTCTATCAGTAGTATGCACTCATGTCTTAAATATGGACTGTCTTTCATCTGTCTCTTACTCCATGCCTACACGTAAATCCAAAGCATGCCCCATTTTTTATCTCTGCTTAATACGCTTGCTAACTTTGCTTCACTATGACTTGTTCTGAAATTCTTTACTGTGGTATAGTCAAGGATCCAGTTTTACCTGAGTGGAGGTCTCTAAGGAGGAAGGAAATGCATCATGCTGGGCTATGTGCCCTCATTTCTGCTGACAAGGGTACCAGGGAGGTATTTCCTCTATGTAGCCTGGGGCTGGAGCAGGGAGTGCAGTACCAGCCCAGCCTCACCATGTCAGTTTGGCTAGCAAATAAGGTTCCCAAACTGGAATGAATGAACAAATTGTCTTCATTTCTTAGAAATGAGTTTTTTTGGAGGGCTGGCGAGATAGCTCAGTGGTTAAGAGCACTGCCACTTTTCCAGAGGACCCAGGTTCAATTGTCAACACCCACATGGCAACTTACAACGGTCTCTAACTCCAGTTCCAGAGGATCTGGCACCCTAACACAGACATACATGCAGGCAAAAGATCGATGCACATGAAAGTCTAAAAAGAAAGGAACTAATTCTTTTGTCTGGTAAAGGTTGCTTTGGTCAGCATTTTCAAATTCAAGTCCAATCTATTAAATAGTCCAAAGCCTACTTCTGTCATGGCATCTACCCCACCTGAGGGCTAGTGTAGGTGGCAACAAGGTGGGAGGCACCATGGGAAGTGGTGCTGGTTCCTGAATCTGATGGAGGTATGTGAAGTCTTCCCCTGCAGTGACTTGACTAGCAGGTAGGCAATATTCTCCCCAAACCTCCCATTTGCAAGGACTTAAAAGAATGCTGTACTGCTTTCCTGAGTTGCTACAACCAAGCAGCCCAAGTTGGTAGCTTACTAACCAGAAATGCACTTTGGAGATTAGAAGAGTGAAGTGAGTATGTGGCAGCTGTACTTCAGTGAGGTTTGGGATGGGGCCTCCCTCCTTACATCCTCCACTGCATTGTGCCCAGGCTTTCCTTGGCTGATGATTGCAATACTGTAATCCTAACTGTTGTCTGCACATGGCCTCTCCTTAGGTCCAAATCCTAGTCCTACCCTCCTGATTTCACCCTGATGGGATTACATATCTAGGGCCCTCTCTAGATGTCACGTGCACAGGCACCAGGAAGTGGTTCTTCTATGAGGGCTCCTGTGCATCTCACCTGATGTTAAAGCAAAGCAGGTATTAGTGGCTGTGCGGATGCTATCATCAGAAGTTAAAGGGTAGGGACTCCTGGGTGAGACTCCTAACTAGCTGGTGAACCTGTAAGTGCCTGTACCTCTGTTTTCCCATGTGCCTACTTCAAGAGGCTTGGGGGTGGGTTTAGAGCAGCACCAGGTGAGTTGTCAGCTTGAGGCCAGTATTAGCTGTTCTCATTGACTTTTGTCCGCTTATGTAGTAATAACGAAAGAATGAATCCAACCACCCAAGGTCCCAGCAGTCAGAAGCTGCAGCCTAGCAGATCCCTTTAATCACACCCTTCAGACCACACCAAGCCCATGGGGGACATCTGGTCACACACAAGCCCTGTGCTCAGGAAATCGAATGCCGAGGGGAGCCAGTAGTAATGCAACTTGGAATTTATTTATTTATTTATTTATTTATTTATTTATTTATTTGGTTTTTCGAGACAGGGTTTCTCTGTGTAGCCCTGGCTGTCCTGGGACTCACTCTGTAGACCAGGCTGGCCTCGAACTCAGAAATCCGCCTGCCTCTGCCTCCCAAGTGCTGGGATTAAAGGCGTGCACCACCACTGCCCAGCTTCTAACAGCCTTTTGAGTGGCTAAAAGGACCTGTTGAGTTTATAGGTTTACTTAAAACTTAGATGCCATCTGAAGTCCACTTGTCTGCATCTGGAGCTGCCCATGCCCTGGCTGTTCCTCTAGTCCTCTTAAGAGTTTCAAATAAAGTTGAGAATAATGTCAAAATCCCTTCTGTCTGCCTCAGACCCTTCTCCTGTGATTTAAGTCTTGCTGACAGTCCCCTCCCGAGGCCTTTGTTTCCAGCCAGAACTCCCACCATCGCTGCTGTCTGCTTCAAGTCACTGGATGGCACAGTTCTCAACACCTGCTTTGTCCTTACCTCCCTGCATCTGGGAGTGTCAGGCTTTTGGAGGAAAGGATTCCAAAATGGATAATGGCTAAGGCCATACAGTAGGCAGCAGTGTAACATACCATAGGTCCTATGACTATCTCAGGTTGGCTCTTGTCCCTACACAGTGCAGGGGAGCCCACAAAGGAGGTGTCCTCAGGGGTAGGTGCTTCTGGTCCACTGATGTGAC